ACAATGATCCGAAACACAGCAGCAAGTTCACCTCCGAATGGCTCAAAAGAAAAAAAAACAAAAACAAATTAAGGTTTTGAAGTGGCCAAGTCAAAGTCCGGATTTGAATTCAATGGAGATGCTGGCTGTGTCTCTAAATGAATTAAATTGGCATTTAGAAAGTGCATTTTGTATTTCCTTGGGTTGTCTGTGACACAGAAATCAGGAAGGGGGCAAAGAGTTTTTCTCGGCCCTGCATATGTCACTGGCATAGCTTTGCAGCGCCCTCCTCATAAAGTCTGCCGGCACATCGCTAAGGTATCGCCGCACAAATACACGACACCGCTCGCATGACAGAAGAAAGAAAACATTTGAATTGACGACGCTTGCGTTCCAGAGCCACGCTGGCAGCGAGGATCGACGGCGCTACCGTTCCAGCATCCTCCGGCGTGTTTGCAATCCGTCGTATCCGGCGGTGTTATTGTCAAAGAGGGCCTTTCCAAATATTTGTCACAGGTCTCCTTGGCAACAAAATATTTGACGCAACAGGGCGTCTTTTCGGAACGGCAAAGGCACTTGATGCCTGACTGGAAAATGTTTTTATTCTTTCTTTTAAAGCCGTAATGACGAGTACGCTATATTACAACAGACGTTCATAATCTGGGAATCTCGCAGTGGGAGTTTCTGGAAAACTGTAAAACTCCTCCAGTCGACTTTTTGAAGCACATTTTCCCTCCCTCATGGGGAAGAGCTCCTGGGTTCGAATCTCCGCGCCTGCCTTTTTTTCGCGGGCTTCTTCCGGCACTCCGGCTTCATCCTAAATCCAGCACACACCCCCGCCCCCAACATGCTAATTGAATGCACGGAAGACTTTAGATTATCTCTTGGTGTGAATATGAATGCGCTTGTTTGAATGTCGACAAACAAGTGCAATCTGTCTCGATTTCTCTCAATCGTTCAGCTCCTCGGCAAATTCTGTAGAAGCCTGAAACGATCGTGATCACTTGAATCAGGTGTGCTGGAATCGGGAAGGCTCTAAACCAGGCAGAAGTTCCCCGCCCCTTCTCTAACCTGTTCCTGTCACTTGTAGATTCCTTGTTGTGTATCCTGACGTTCCAAAACATTTGTGGACATGGTCTCTCTGGATTTTCATCAGTCACAGGTGAGTAAGCGCGCTTTCCTCAAACTCTTTGTCACTCACAGATAACGCTCCCCAAAAGACTAGAGCAACCGCACGTATTTTCGCTGAATGAAATCTCACTGGCGCAATGCGAACATGCAACGTGAAACAGCAGAGGTGGGCTCACAGGAATGTTAGCGGGATGATCATCCTTCAAACAATCTGCAATCCATAATCCCAAACGGAGAAAAGTCATCTGTCTGACCTCATTTGTCGCTTTGTTAGCATGATTGATTGGGACGGTCCAACCCAGTTGAGTTCAACTTCCTGCTGGAGGCGGTGGATGTTCACATATCAGCTTTGTCGGAACGCCAACCAACATCGGCAAATCCTCCACGGCCAGATTACCACTTGGGTTGACTCATTCTGGATTTTTTTTGGGGGGGGGTTGGTTCTAATCCCCGTGGATTAAATTTCGTGCTCCAAACCGGATTTCACTCAGTGTAAGTACGAATTTGACTCGTTCTAATCTGATAATTAAAATCTCAATCTTGATAGGCGTCATAAGCCATCACAAAGTAGGAAGTGTGTGTGTGTGTGTGTGTG